AAAAGAAAAGGTATTGGGCCAGGGATTTAGCTCAGCGGTTTGGTGGCCTGCCTTGCAAGCGCAAGGACCCGAGTTCAATCCCCAGTACGAAAAAAAGAAAAAAGAAAAAGAAAAAGAAAAGAAAAGGTATTATGTGTGTTTTTGGTGTCTTTTTTTTTAAAACAGCTTTGCTGGTCTCAAACTCACAGCAATTCTCCTGTCTCAGCCTTTTGAATGTTGGGATTACAGGCGTGAGCACAGGATTCTTGCTATGTTGCCCAGGCTGGCATTGAACTCCTGGCTCAGGTGATCCTCATCTCAGCCTCCTGAATACCTATAACTACAGGTACATGTCAGGGTACCCAGCATCAGTGTGTATTACCTTTGTTCACCACATACACTGTTTCTTTTTCCACTTTCAGATCTGATTCAAATATAAGGCGTTCCTTAGGCTATGCTTTGTGAGTATACAACTGAGGCCCACATATTACTTAGGAACCAGATATGGTGGCACACCCCTGTTAACCAAGCACTTGGGAGGCTGAAGCAGGAAGACTCCAAGTTCAATCAAAGCCATTAAAAAGTGAGACCTTGTCTCAAAAAAAGCGAAAATATGAACAAAATAATATTGATACTTAATACAGTATATGCCCAGCTACTTGATTTCAAATGAGACAAACATTATCCAGAAAGGACTAATGCCCAGGAAAATCTTGAGCTCCTTGATCCATCCATGTCAGCAAGCCCAGCAAAAATACCAGGCATGTGGCTGCCATGGCTTTCCTTACAACATCCTGCCCTGTGTTTTCCAAACTGTACTTTTTATCTTGCCCAAACTCACTCTGCTGAACCAGCTTCTTCTCACTTTTACCTTTCTAGATAATTTTGTCACCATTTTTTGAAAAACAAAACAGGCATGAGAACAGACTTCCCTCCTCCCCAGCCCAGCCCTCAAGTAACACCCAGGGCCTCTCTCCCACATCTCTCCTGAGGGGCCCCATGTCTTTCTGTACAGAAGCAAGGAAGATTCAAGTTACATCTCCCAGAGTGCCAGCACTAGACTAGGTCATCCAGCTCACACTAAAGTACCCCCTCCATATTTATTAATCCCCAAGGAAGGGAAAGAATCTGGTCTACACCCTAAGTGAAATGGACATAGGTCTTGATGTACAAAACTAATCAGAGAAGAGGGAAGTGGACAATCCAGATCATCTGTGCCTGCAGCCTCTCTTCTGCAGAACACAAGAAGGAAGACCCGCTCAGGCAGAGCAGAAAAAGCTAAGATAGCCACCACCTCAGGTAACAATGTTTCCCATTCCTCAGCTCACAGCATCTTTAAAAAGTTCACAGGAATGATATGAAGGAGCCAAGAGAAGATCAAGCCTGTTTTGTGCTCTAGTGCTGAACTTTAGGGTGGCATACCTCCTACGTATCTGATTATGGGTGTGTGCCACTGTGCCTAGCTCATTAGCTATGTGTTCAATGAATGAGCCAGGGATGGATGCATCCGCTCAAGTCTAAGTGAACCTGATTTGGGCTCACGTATGACTGGCTACCTAAAGACAGGTGTTTAGGTCAGAAAGAAGGAAGAACATAGAACACAAATGCCGCGGCCAAATCATTCACTGATAAAGGGCACAAGAGTCATGCTTTAGGGCCAGGGGTTTAGCTCAGTGATGCCTCACCTGCCTTGCAAGTGCAAGCTCCTGAGTTTAATCCCCGGTACTGCAAAAAAAAAAAAAAAAAAAAAAAAAGACTCATGCTTTATGCTAAGAAGGTGCAGGGAGGCTGGAGGGCTCAAGGGCCTGGGCTCCATACTCACCGACCCACACACAAAAGGTACAAAGCCAGCAGCACTTTTCTACAAAAACATTACGTTTTCTACAAAACATAATGTTGGCCCAGGTACACCAACCTAAAGTTCAGCACTGCGGTAAATACAGGCTTGATCTTCTCCTGGCTCCTCCTTCATATTATTCCTGCAAACCTTTTAAAGCTTTCAATGATAACAAACAGCTGGGAGCACCATGTATGCCAAAGATTCACCACCACTGCTTTAATAGAAGGCAATTCCTTTGGGAGTTCTAAGAAGAAAAAAAAAAAAAATCAATGCTGTTAAAAAGAAAAATCCTTGACAATTTTAAATTTAATGGCATTCATCTGAGCAAAAGCAAAAACACAACAATGATCTTCGAATCAGGCAGTTCAAACAAAGCAGGTTCAGAGAACTCAAACTCGACCTAACACATACAGAGTCAATCAGCCAGTCAACCGCCTACAGCTTAACTAGTTGTTTAATTAGTCAAGTGGCAATAAGGCCTCCTGCAACCAAAGCTCAGTTACAGTGATTAAATTGTATTGGTTTGGTCTTCTGAAGCCAGTGTAAATCTATGGCCTTTCACAAATTTTATTTAACAGTACCAACCACCATTAAACGTTTTAGCAAAACACAAAGACACTCTCTAGAAAACTCCTATTCATCCTTTAAGATCTACCTCTAAGATCTTCCTGATGACCCCTCTTTAGGTTAGTACTTTTGTACACTGCAAATACGTCAAGTCTCACACTAAAGTTGTCTACGTAATTTTTAAATTTCCTGTACTAGACTAAGAATTGGGGGCAGGGAGGACCCCCGGGCGGGGGTTGAACTCAGGATCTTGTATTTGAGAGGCAGGCTGTGCCACTAGGCTAAATCCCTAGCCCAGGGGTCTCGTCTTTATCTGCATTACCAGGGATCAGCATATTATGCTTGACAGGCCAACATCATCAGAACCAATTTATTTTTACTCTAGTATCCTAAATTAAATTGTACCCCTCAACTCCAAGTCACTGCTAGAGGTTCCCACAGCTCAGAGCAAAAGGGAGAGAAAGGGGGACAACTGGCAAAAGTAAGAGAGGGACTCCAGCATTAGGAAAGGAAGCGTTGTCAGACTGCAGCAGCTTCTGTGGAGGCTCCTCCAGTGTCTAGGGAATTTGCTCCTCGTGCAACTTGTCTCAGAGGCCCAGGTGTTTGCACTGACCTGGCGGGCTCCACAAGAGTGACCACACCACCAGAGCCAAGTTCAAACAAAAATACCTCCTAGGAGTTTCTGGGCTGAAATTTTTATCCAATGAATTTCCATATATTTAGGGTTACAATAATCAAGTTCTTAATCTAACTCCCCTCTCCACTGTCATTAAATCATGGGAGAAACATTTTCTGACTGCCAACTGTGAGGGTTCTCTGCTGGCTGTGAGGAGCATGAAGATGTCTCTCAGGGATTCCAATTGAATAGGAGGGTTAAAACACAGCAACCCAGGAATGGCAGCACATGCCTGTAATTCAGCACTTGGGAAGCTGAGACAGGAAGATCACTGTGAGTTCAAGGCCAGTGTGGACTACATAGACTCTGTATCAAAGAAGGAAATAAAAAAAAAAAAAAAGGATGAAAAGAGGAAAATTCAGAGGGAGATTAACCCAGCTAAAAGGATTAAGGAAGGTTTTATGAAAAAGAGGGCTTAAACTAGACTTTGAAAGAGGTGTCCCAATATACAGATTGAAGAAGGGCCCATCACCACCCTCCAGGGCAAAGATTCGAGCTCTACTTGACAGGAGGGATTTTACCAAGGATGTAGAGGATGAAACCCAGAGCATGTCAAAGAAACAGCAAGTAGCTATGTGATATCTGTATCAGAGGTATGCAGATTAAGCACATAAGTGGACCTCAATAAACGCTGAAAGGACTGGGATTAGTCAGAACCCTGGATGGGAAACCAAAGATATTGGCTTTAAACTGGGCATGGTGGCGCACGCCTGTAATCCCAGCACTTGCGAGGCTGAGGGCTGAGGCAGGAGGATCCGCTGTGAGTTCGAGACCAGCGTGGGCTACATAGTGAGTTCTAGGTCAGTCTCAACTACATACTGAGACCCTGTCTCAAAAAAACACTACCCCCCCAAAAAAAAGATACTGACTTTATTCTGTAAAACTAGAGAACAAGAATTCTGCTGTGTTTTAGAAAAACTCATCTAATTGCATTTGTACAAGATATGAGCAAGATTTAAAACTGGAATTTTTCATTGCTCTGTTGGGTTTACCGAAGAGAAAAAAAGAGGTGGCGGGGGGAGTGGACGGCGCATGCTTGAGGCACTGGGTTCAAACCCCAGCACTGCAAACAAAAAAGGAAACAAATGGTGCCTTGAGTGAAGGCAGTGGTGGTGGGGAAAAAGACAAGAGACAGGTTCTTGGGAAACTACCTTCAAGCCCACTCTGAGTACTCTACTGAGTCGGGTACCACTGTCTACTGCTTAAGCCGGCAGCTGCTGTAAAACCCCAACGTTTCCCAACTTCAATAGCTTTCTGGTTGTTCCTTTTCACTTCTGCTCTTGCCCTCAAAGCTGCTTGGTGGTCAGAGGGCGCCTGATGTATAATCAGCACACCTGCTCTCACCCCTCACCTCCGCCAAGGCCAGACCCGTACCGGCGAGATCGAACCCAGCGCTGCAACACCGCTTTATGCGAGCAGGCAGCTACAAAAAGCAGCAGCCCTCCTAAAAATGACAGGAATTGTTTTTTGGTCCAACCGGGCTTCCCAATAAAATTCTTCTTGTGAGGTGACCACATAGAATTGCAGTCAGTGTCAGAGAAAGCCCCACCACAGAGAACCGGCGTCCCTCTCAGCCACTGGGGTTCACGTCCCAAGACATCCTCCCGGTCCGGCCCGGCCCAGTCGGGCCGTGGACTGTCACCACCAAGGGCCGGTCCTGCCGCGGAGAAGAGGCGGGAGAGAGTCAAGCGGAAGAAGTGGGGAGTCCGGGTGGGAACTGCGGAGGGCCGGGGCCAGAAGTCGGGAAGAGGGTCCCTGCGAGTAGGGAGGGAGGGCGGTCTGCGCGCCCCAGGTGGGGTGGGGGAGGCCAGGCCGAGGAAAACCGCCCTTTCCCACCCTAAGACCCGGCCTGAGAAGGGGTGGGCGTGCGGGGGGCGTCCGGCGCTGGCCGACGACGGAGGTCCGCAGCGGACGGGGGGAAGGCGGGGAGTAGCTCACCTTCTTCACAGCTGGCTGGAAATGGAAGTCACCGGCCTCCTTCAGGTCCAGCCAGAT